GATAGAATACCATGGTGGTAATACCGGAGCACGAGCCACACCCCCAAACACCACTTTATAGGTAGCATGTCATAGCCAGCGGAAAGCCAAACTTAGCGTTTGGTCTGAAGAAGGTAAGAAGTAGGGGAAAAAGAAAGGAAGAATTTAAAAACTTACCCGCCAGCCCACACAGAGCACTCCTTCAGCACACGTAACGGCACGCATTTTAGCAGTTGATCGTGCTGGGCACAGATCGAACGGGGCCCCGATAACAACGGCATATATAAGTGTATCACCTGCTGTGGTATTAGTATCTATCTTTCCCGTAAATTGGGTGTTTCTTCTCATTTTCATATCGTTGTAAAATTTTCGTTTCTCATTGTAATTATTGACTCTAGTTTTGTGGAGAAGGTCTTTCTTTCAGTGCTTTCTAAACTACTGTCACGAATGTCATCCTCATGCCATCCATATGTCAATGTCATCCTGCAACCTTTGCTTGCGCTGACGATGTGCATCTTCGATGAGCGAGGCGCTTTGCTGTCAATTTACATGCTTTGCGATTACTCCAACGCTACCCACAACTGGACAACTCAGCCACTCACCGTACCACTCAATGTCGCCTATCTTTCCACCTCTACTCTTTTATCAGGCAGGGGCGTAGCCAGAGCCTTGGCAAGGGGGCACAGGGTTGATAAGAGACCCCCTGAGGGCAAAAGGGCCCCAGAATCGTAATATTTAATCCATTTGTTATGAAAAACATGCTTTCTTCGACATATTATATGCACATATGTCACAGTTTTCTCATTCTTTAACTGAAATCTAGGCCAGACGCCACCGCGAGTCAATTCTGCCTTAGGTTTACAACACACAAACTGACAAAAACATGCGTTAAATGGCTGCATGAAATACATGACACACGCTATTCATCTTACAATAGTCCAGTAGACTCTTTTTAGGCTGAGAGAACTCAGAAATTTGGCCAGAATTTTTATCTGAGTTGTGCGGTGGCAACAAGGATTTCGCGATGAAGATCGAAATGGGTAAACGATTTAAAATTAACACTGCCAAGCCTTCTTTGTCTGGATGCACTCGTCAATTCTGACTGAATGTTGATTGTGGCAAGTGGTAAAATTACGTAACGTAGTTTTAAGCACGCGCGCTCGCATATCTTAGTACAAAAACTCGACGCCAGGCGTTGCAGCCTCTTAAGGCCGCACAGCGTCTTTGGCTAACCCTACGGCTAATTGGCTAATTGGCCTTGGCTAATGGCTAGCACCAAGCTGTGGCCAGCATCTGGACGAAAATGGTGACGCATCTGCAAGAAGTAACTTTGAAGGCTTTTGGACACAAATATGTATACTTAAAGATATTCCGGGCGTTTATTTTACCTGTGCAGTTTACAGATTCGTGACAATAACGCATATTGTTCTTTACAGCACCGCAAAGTGGTGCTGGAATCTGGTGGTGGAACTGGAATAGTACAGGCAAAATCTATATTTTTCGTGTTGCTGTAACTCTTAATCGGCCCAGAGGAGAGCCTCAAAGCTAGTAAAAAGATTCGCTCGGTAGTCCTTGAGCTGGGCGAATTAGTTTCGAAAAAGATTCGGAATCATTTTTTTGCGAAGGTCATTGCTGCGCGCTCGGTGCCCGCCCCCCCCCCCCCCCCCCCTCTGGCGTTACGTGCATGGACCAACGCCGTCCTGTTTTACGAAAACTGCGACCCAAGCCATCGCCACCCTTGCTCCCCGAAATGACGGGCATGCCATCGGGGCTCTATGTCACACTCAGCTGCTGAGGCTATATAGCGCCGCCAGCCTCTAATCCTGGCGGGAAGGGCGGGCACCGTGGAAAATCGAATTCCGAAACTGTGGTTTTCCAGACGTGCAGTTGTTAACGCGGGCGCGTCAACCACTACGCCACCGGCACCCGACACACAGGCTGAAACCTTTTGAAGGTACTTGTTTCATTAGTCGATTCTCCAAAGGATGAACGTTTTCAAGTAAACATGGCATGGCCTTGTGTGCTTTGAACCCATTTTGCCCCACTCCATTTAACACTCATGAGACCCCTTATTTCCGGTAATGGGGCTCTATTGAGTACAACACGATGGGGCACATTGTTGTTCCCGGTCAATGACTGAAGGCTATTTTGTCCCACCTCGGTGTGTTTTCTGGCCGTCATTCCGGCGACACGGGGCGGCATCCCCTGGCCAATCCGGAGGCCCTTAGAGGGGCATGTTATATCACATTGATTCGCCCCCTGACGCGGGAGGTCTCCTAACCCGCATAGTTGACCCTGGATGGACGCATGCACCGTCATCATTAACGCAACAATACCTCCGCTCGCCCCACGTGGTCAAATAATTGGCACATTGCCTTCGGCTGGGTTTAACGGGCCCATACTGGAATAAGGTTGGGTGGCACACCGTTCGGAACGGGGGAACCGGCCGGCACAAAACCCTTTCATTGCCTCAATATGAGCACTCATCAGAAGTTCTCTTGTTTCCTTTCATTGTCGGAAGGCCCCGACCAACGCAGGAGGCCCTGTGTCATTTGGGGCCCGTTCCCGTTCCTGTTAAGCAAATCTTCCCATGACCGATTCGAGGCCCCTTGTTGGCAGAATGCCGTTAGGCACTGTAGCCCCTGAACGATGCAGGAGCCCAACCAAAGTAAATCGCGGGTCCGGCCTTCACTCGCCTTGGGAAACAGGCTCCCAGAGCTCATGCCAACACTGAGCCGGCTGTTCGCTGTTCATGATCTCTGGCCGAAATAGAGGAACGCTCTGTCCCAGGGTCCATTTCGGTGCAAGAGATCATCTTACTGACGGTTGAAATCACGGCCCTACAGGCGGGGATGATTAATGTGAGCTACAACCAGCCCTTTGGGCCGCTCAGCCAGCCTTTGGGACCTTCAATCTTCCAGTCGGGCCCTTCGATCTTTGGTCCCAAGGGACCTTTCGGCCCCTCTTCGTGCCCCCTCAAACACCTCTCCTGGCCGACTCGGGACACTGACTGCCACAGAACCCCTGTTAGGCACTGTGTCCCTTGACCGACACAAAACCCCTCATTGTGTCAGAGGCCCCGAATATCGCAAACTGCCGACCGGCCTCGTTTCTGTTTAAGTTATGGACCTCAAGGGCTCATACGGAATTGGAGCCGACTTTTCGTTGTTCGTGGTCTCTGACCGACTAAAACACCCGCACCGTCTCAGAGGTTCCTTAAAGAGTGCAAAAGAGCCCCTGGACGATATTTCATGTCACAACCCTACGGAGAGCGATTCTTTCTGCGACCTACAGTCAATCTTTCGGGCCCTTATGCCCACCAACCGGGCTTTTGATCGTCGGTTCCGGCGGGCCTCCAGGGCCCCTCCCTCTTCGGGCCTCATCGAACACTTCCCTTGGTCGCTTTGGGGGCCCTATGAGCACAGGGCATTCTGTTAGGCGCCGTGGGCCCCTGACAGATACAAGGCTCCCGACCAGTGTAAATCACTGGCCCCGACTTTAAAGCTGACTTAGAAGTGGGCACTTAGGCCCATAACGACACCGAGCCGACCATGTCGTACGGTAGTGTCTGACCGACATATAGACCCACGTCGACTCAGGGATCCCCGATCGGCGCAAGCGGCCCTCTGACCGTTCTTTGAGGGTCCGTCTTCGCAGGTCGGGGCCCCTGAATGGGACTCCGGCCAGCCCTTTATGCCCTTAGACCCTTCAGTCGGGTACTTGATCGTCAAACCCAGTGGGTCTTCTAGGCCTTTCGGGCCCCCTCGAATACTACCTCTGGCCGACTCGGGGTCCCTTGACAACACAGGGCCCCTGTAAGGCGCTGTGGGTCCCCGACCAATGTAAATCGCTGGCTCCGGCTTTGTCCATGCCTGGGGAATGGGCCCATGGGCCCATGCTGCCACGTAGCCGGTTGTGCGTTACTGGGGGTCTCTGATCAACGTGCGAGCCTCTGACTGGCATTGCAAAGCCCTGTGGGCTGAGGCCCCTGAATGAGACCTCCGGCCGTCTTTTCGCGCCCTGAATTGTAGGTTCCGAGGGGCCGGTACCTACCGGACGACACGTGCGTCCCCCCCCCCCCCTCCCTGCCTGCCCTACTGGTTTCAGGCAGTCGAAGTCCTTATCTATCCTACGTCGTATTCTCCAAAATTAAAGACAAGTGCCCCCACTTAACGCACTCGCAAACGCAAGAGCTACCACATCAAACTCGCGCTTCTTTGTTAAAGTGATTTATTTAATCTGGTAGCGCTTTCACTCCATGCCGACGGACTGCCAAAAAATCCTGGCAGCAGCGCCAGCCGGCGTGTGACGTCGCAAACCACGCTACTTTGTGGGTCACTTGACGTGACGTAGGGCAAATACTGGGCTGTGATTGGTGCTGCCAAACGTGCTGACCGCAGATCGAACAAAATCCTCGTCTTGTATACCCGCCGTAAAAATGACCCAAATCTAGAGAAATAGCTGAACGGGAAATTATAGAGTTGATGACATCCCTTCATAGTTCAAGATGTATCAATATTGATCAATTTAGGTCCTCAACAGATGCATGAAGTTCGGTCAAGTTGACAGCGTTTAGCTATCACCCGCGTTTGACGGGTCTTACCCGTTGCGACCTTCTTTGCCACTGATGAAGCGTAAAGAACTTATGTAATTCTGCTTTTGAGTGCCTGCGTCACTCCATCCATGCGTCATCCCATTTCTAATTATTTTATCGGAATCACTTTTGGCTAAGGCATGTGCACTCAAAAGTCGCAGTACTGAAAGCACAAATGACGTCATTAGTATTTAATGGATGCATTTTTGACAATGAATCTCTTTTGTACTCATAACTTAGGATACAATAACGATTTTTTTGTCAAGGTTATGACTAAACTAAAGACTAATCAGACCACAAACCATACATTGGCTTATAACTATTAATGGCGTCATCAAGAGTGTTAACGGGTCAGCTTTTTGTTATTCCTTGAACGACCATGCCTTGTCCGACTCACTGTGGTTTGCGTCACGTTTGCGTCACCTCGGATGACCCTGGGGCTCCGCTGGCTCGGTGTCGCTGGCACAATATTGCGTCGCGGCCCCAGTGGTCCCAGCCTTTCCTCATCATCATGGCGGGTCGTTGTTAGTCTACCTCTTGGCTTCTGCCATAAGGTAGCCATTTTTCGGAAATTCTGTGCGCGTGAGTGAGGGCAGTGTGTGAGCAGTAAAACTGCCTGAAGTGCCCAGAGATCTCCCCCTGTCTGGCCTCGCGCAGGTAAGAACAGTATGCCTCTGCAGTAGTAGATACATATGTGCATTGATATATATCGCGCGGTGTAGCTGTCACGCTGATCAGGTGTAACATGCTCATGTTCTGAGGGGAGGCAAGGGGTGTCAAGGTTTAATTAAGGATATTACTTGCAGTGTACGCATGTATAGCCACATACCCGAATTTGAGGAACGTAACTTTTTAACAGTTATGTTACAAAGAGAGTGTCGGTGGCGCCAGTTATGTCATACAATGACATTTTCACTACAATCTTGAATGACTGTGTGAAACTGCCATTTGCAACTCATGCTGTTCGTATGTTGTTATGCATCTGGGCCACACCTGGCATGATAGCATCAATAAGAATATGAAGGTGTTTCAGGTTGATTTCTAAAGATTTAGCTGTTCTATGATGTGCCTCTCAGGCATAATAAAGAGTCATTAAGGCCATTGAAAACAGCTGAAAGTGTAACCTTGTTGTTTAACTTTCAAATGACAAGTAGGAATTAACTTTGGCTCTGAAAAACTAGGATGGCTCCATGCATAAATAACTTTTTTTCAACAAAAATTATAATGGTGTAGAATATGACTTGGCTCAACTGAGGCAAGCTATCACTTCAATCTTGATATTTTTGCTGGCTTGTTTTATGGTCTGCTGCATCCATTATCTAATGACAAGTGACATGCAGCAGAGATGTTATTTTGGCATACACCTTGTTTCTAGCTGGCTGTTTACTTTAACAACTTGCCACAAATCAGGTACATAAATGTTGCATGTATCACAGTGTGCATTTGTAGTGCATCAGGGTTGTGTCTTTAATGCATTGACACTGCATTTTCAGTGCTGAGATGAGTTTCCGGTCTAGAAAAAGATCATCTAGCTGCTGCTGCTCACAAGTTGTTCCTGTTGTCAACCCAAAGAAGATACGGATATCTGAAGCTTTAGGCTCTTTGAAAGAAAAGGATGTATCATGTAAGATGATGTGCATATGGTAGACCAGTAAAATTGTGCATTGCTATTTGCTAGATAGATCATTGTGGTAATATTCCTCACCATTCCTGATGTATATTGCTCTGTTGGATGTCTTTGTAGAATAGACATGGAGCTTGTCAAGACAATGTATTGTGTTGTGTTGAATGCTGCTCCTCATCAGCTAGTGATTGGGTTTTAAGGCCACACCAACTGCAATGGTTATTTGCACCCTGCCGCATTGCAGCTGTGCTGCAGTTTATAATAGTCTTGTTGAAAATTTCTGTGGATATCAGTGTTTTTCTCCTTCAGATCCTCCTGCTGGAACGCCAGTAGACCTGGTTCGAGTGAAGAAAGTTGGACCTTTCATCCTGGGACCAGTTTTGGGAAATTCTCCTGTCAAAAGTATTGTTCAGTGCTTGGCAAGGCAAGAAAAAACAGACAAGTTCTTCACTGTCAAGGTATGCTTTCCAGCAATTTTTATCCTGTACTGTGTGAAAATATGTTCTTCACTGTACATTATTTTTAAAAAGTTTTTTGCTGGTTGTGAATGTGAATGCATTGTGATCTTGAAAAGAATTTCTCCTCTTGTGCTATGTAAGAAATGTATTGTTCTATTTGAAACATTTTTACAAACAAGCAGGTTAATTAAAAATGATATGAACCTTACTGTATTACCCGACATTTCCTTAAGTAATGTTAGGTGCAGTCTTCTGTCATCTCATACAGCAAAATTGCTGAAACATTATCCAGGTTTGCTTCCTTGGCTGTGATGCTGGGAAAAGTCTGCTGCATTCATCTCCTCCCCATTTCATTGCATAACCATCTGTGATTTTTTCCACTTAGATATTAAGCTTGAAGCCTCCTAGTGAGGAGACACAGGACGACCGGCAAGGCAAGATGCTTTTGCATACGGAATACTCGCTTCTCTCACTGTTGCGAGGCCAGCAGGGGGTGATTCAGCATCATGGACTTTACAAGGTGCTGCAACTTTTCAGTGTTATGTGTTGTTTTCCATATTTTATGTGAATGGTCAGCTTCAATTGTCATTTAATAGTTTTGGTAGCTTCAGTCGTCAGTTAATAGTGTTGGTAGCTCCAATTATCAATGTTAATAGTGTTTCCTATAATTTCCAGCATGGACTGATTTGCCAGGGCCACCCTCACTGTTCATAGATAAAGTTTTATGTGGGTATACTTGCCCACCATCTGCTTGGTGTGTTAGCCAGCTGGCCGGCCGACTGGCGCTGTGTGCGTGTATGCCGCGCCGCGTCCGGCTCCGCTGTGACCGTGGCCGTGCGCCGCAGGACATCGCCCTGGAGGAGGTGGACACGAGCCGCGGCACCGTCTACTCGGGCCGCGCCGTGCAGCGCGTGGCGCTCGTGCTCGACTGCCTCACGCCGCACGACTTCTCACCCAGCGAGCACATCAACCTGCAGCACTACGTCATCCGCCAGAAGCGGCTGGCCGAGCAGGAGGCGCTGCTCGTCTTCAGCCACGTGGTGCGGGTAGTGGCCATGCTGCATAAGAATAACGTGGTCCACCGCGACCTCAAGCTGGGCAACATCGTGCTCAACCGGCGCACCAAGAAGGTAGTGCTGACCAACTTTTGTCTGGGCAAGCACCTGCTGAACGAGGACGACCTGCTGAAGGACCAACGCGGCTCGCCGGCGTACATCAGCCCGGACGTGCTCAGCGGAAAGCCCTATCTAGGTGAGTGCCGACTCCCTCTGCGGAGGTGCGAGTCGCCGGCCGTGGCCGCCGGTGTCGGTCCCGCCCACCGACGTGCTGGCCGGAGGTGCGGCGCTCCGGCTTCGGCTGCGGACCTCCGCGTGGCTCCGGGGCGAACCGGTGGTGTCCAGCTCGCGTGGTGGCGGACGTGACGCCGCGGCCGCCCGGTCCCGACTGCAGGACGCGTGACGTAACGCCGGAGGTGGTCCGGCTGTGACGAGTGCGCCCGGGTGGCGCCGTGCCGCGCCGGGCAGCTGCATTGTTTGGCGTCGGCCGGCGTCCGGACTGCACCCGCGTCCCGGCGTAGTCGCCGGTCTGCGCAGTTTGCCGCACCCGTAAGCTGATCCGAACGGCCGCGAATCACCGCTGCACGTCGGCGTCTGTTATCGAACGCCCCGGACGGCCGCGATCGGGAATGATCGGTCGCCGAAGGCAGGTGCCGGCCGCTGTACGTGCTCCGTGTCCCACCGTGGTCCCCCTTGCCCTCCATCCGAGTGTTGCGTCAGACCGCGCCCGCGCTCGCGGTGATGATTGGCCTCCGGTTGCACCATATCGGACGAGTCCGCACGCCTTCCCTCCCCCCCCCCGTCCCCCTTACGCTACTGTTGGAGCGCGAAAACGCAGTGAGTCGAGGGAAGGTTACCCATGGAGGAGCGCTGATCTTGGTAGACATACCGACGGGGCGACTGTTTGCAGGATCGGTGGGGGTGGTGGATGATACTGGAGGTAAACATCTCATACCTTCGTAGTAGCAAGGGGGCTTTGGGGCACTTCGGCTGGGTGGTCACTTAGCGCCGATATCTCACAACGTTGTTGATGCTGGCAAAGGAGCACGTTAAGACGGCGCCTCCGGGACGTATCTCCCACGGCCGCCCAAAATGTGTGGTGCACGCGCGTGGTGCGCGCTCTGGTTTGTGACGCGTGGAAAGGCTCGGCATTCAGCTAAAAGACGAGGTTCGAGCGCATCCCTGCGCGAGGATATGCAGTAACAGGTCGCGGGTTCCCGGTGTTGAATGCAGCTGCCCACAAGGTCACCCGTCGGGTGAGCAGGCACGGGCCCAGCTGGTACCCGACCGAACTTTGCACTCAGCTGCTCACAAGGGCGCCCTCGGAAAGCCGGCATGCGGCCGGCCGGCTTTCAGTAGCTTCGTATGTGAGGAGAGGCCGTTGTGGAGGCCATGTAAGGACCGGATCAGCGGAGCGGCCAGGTGCGCGCGTGGAATGCGGGGGCGAGGCCCGTGCACGGGCGTGACGCCCCGCGCCCAGAATAGACTCGTGACCGGGCCGGACCGGCACCGGCACGCGCGCACTCGTGACCTGCGACCGTGCGGCATGACCCCGCACTGGTGCATCCGGGAAAGCCAGTGGCGGGGATTACACGGGCGACGCGAAGCTAGCCGCCGGGGTGGGCAGTTTTTACGGGCGCCAGTTGTGCAAAGTCATGCGGGTGGCAGTGGTGCGGCCGCTGTTGTCATTGCCGGTGGTGAAACGCAAGATGCACAGTCACCGTCCATCGCAACCAGTATTTGCCCAATGCCAGACTGTCCGTTGTCCTAGAGTAGGATAAGCCGATTTGCTATGGCTATTGTCGCGACTTCTTTGCGAGGTTCATATACTCGGCCTCGGGGTTTAAGTGTCCCGTTCGTGCGTTGTTCCGAGGCTGCAAGTCTGTATGGAATCCTTTTGCGCCCCCTGTTTCATCATGGTTGTTACCAGCTCAGTGTTTTCCGCTGTGTTGGGCGATCCAGAGGACCTGACTCAGGTTTCTCCGTTGTCCTCGCCGGTCATTGGGCTCCTTCAAATGTGAGTAAACCGGCCGGTCGGTGGCGGCTAGCGCCTGCCGTTCCACTCCGCGATACGCCTCTGGTTTGGAGCAGAGCCGCGGGCCGAGCGAGCCTGACTCGAAATATGGCACGGCTGTTAACATGGACAGCCCGGTCGGTCCCGGCTGTAGCGCCAGTCACAGACAGATGGTGACAGCCACTGGCGGGGATCCGTGCAGTGCGCCTTAAATACGTGGCGCGGTTCTTTAAACCTTGTGCTGCCATTGTCCAGAATCAAGTACATTACAGCTATTTTTTATGCGTCGTTTTCTGGCGGGATTGCAAAGAGATCAAAATTTAACGCGAATAACGCGATATGGGTCGAAAGCAGGTCTACAATTTGACAACCCAAGGACGCTGTGTTACTGCAGAAAACGACAGTCGTATTGGCAGAAACGTGCGTGGCCGCGCGGCGCGGACCGTGCGCGTCAACACACCATGGATACACCGGGCATGGGTATTTTCACGGATTGAGGTCAGATCCCAACAACCGGAGCAGATACAGGTGAAAACCAGCTGCAAAGTACAGGCGAATGGGAAGTGGCCCGTAGTCTCATGTCGCCTTAAGGAACCGCCGAATACATGCCACTCTGACGTAGACTGAGATAGCTGGTGTCACGAAAATCTCACAGGGTGTATGGTAAACCATTGAGCAGCATCAGCCAATTGTATTGCAGTCCTTTGGTCAGCGTCTAACATCACAAACCAATTTTACTTCATCGGGTTCATCGACCAAAATGACTACGGCAGGCCAAACGCTTATGTCGCCAGTTTCCAAATTCGTGAACCAGGGCGTGTACGCCACGTTAGCGGTACATCCCTGCCTGCCCCCATGGAAACGGAACATTTTGTCGCATTGAGAGGACCCACTTATGTGTGGTTGCTCTGTATCATTGCACATGTATCACATGCCTCATACCAATGTTCATCTGTTGTCATCTCGCACGTCCCACGCTGAAGAAGGCGTCTGATTGGTTGAATTGTATCGCGTTCACGTTGTCCCTCGCGGGACTCCAAGGTCTTGTTGACCTTGTTGTGCAACGCTCGCTCTGTTCGGTCTACGCAATAGAGCCCGCTCTCTTGGTTTCAGAAACGTTCACGTGGCTTGCTGGGGTATATTGTGACCGCATGGATTCACTTAGAGACAAGCGAATGACGTTTGGACGGTGACATTGCGTTGTTGCATGCTTACATTATCGAAATGTGAACATTGTGGGTTTCAGAACATCACGTAAGAGTCGAATGTTCCGTGAACAATATTCTGTGAGCCACGATCGAAATGATGCTCACTTGACGCCTGAGTAAACCGTTTCCACAATTGAAATGACTTATGTAGTCTTGCACCAGAATATCTCACAACGCACTGTTAAGCTTTCGACGTCATAATGTAACCCAGCATTTCTTCCTCCTCGCCACGCACGAAAGCCTGCTAACAGAATGTGGTGGCCCAGTATCGGCTCGCCCCGGCCCTCCGACCAGTGGCCCCACGTCCGTCTGCAGCGCCGTTCGCGAACTCCGCTGTCCGTCCGCCGTCCGCCGGCACGTTGCTCCGCCCCGCCGCGGGTCCGCCCCGTCCACGCGTTCGGCGCCCTGCGCCGGTGCTGTAATCGGCGCCGGCCGTTGCGCAGGGCCGCAGTAGGGGACACTCCCAGCGGGCTGCAGCGGGCCGGCCCGATTCGGTTGCGCAGTCCGGTTACAAAACATTGGCGGGCGGCCGGGCCCGGGTCGCGCGGGCGCACTGCGCCCTGCCGACAGGGTCGGGCGGGGCGCGCGTCAGCGGCGCGCGTTGACGGCGGCGGCGGCTGCAGGTGGGACGTGACGTGCTGGGCCGAGCTGCGTGCCCGGGCGCGGCACGCGGCGGCAGGTCGTGCACCCGTGCCGCGCCCGGCCCGGCCTGGCGCGCCGGCCGCCGCCGCCGCCGCCCGCTCAAGGCTGATACAAGGTCAGGCGCGCTGCTCATCACGTGTGTGTCAGGGTCCGCCTGGCAGGCTGGTCCCGGCCGCCCATGACGCAACGCCAGAACCAGTTGCACCAGCTACCCCTCCCTCACCCCCCTCTCAGCCGGCTGCTGGCCGGCGGGGCGCCGGCGGATCGCCCGGCGGGCCGCGCCGCGGCTATTCTCATCCAATTGACTCATGCCACGCCGCGAATGGTGCTGGCTATTTGAGGCGACGTTTCGAGAAGCGGCTCGCTGGAGACGAGCGAGCGGCGTCGTTTCCAGTCCACTGGCCTCCACGGGCGATGTCCGTCAGCGGAGGTGTGCGGCGCGTCGAGGCGGCGCGCCGGGCGCCGGCGTCGAGCGACCCGAAGCCGATGCGTGGCGGCTGTCCGCAGTCACCCGTCTTGGTACCGCGCGCTCCCTCCTCAGGCCCCGCCGCCAGCTGGTAACCAGCTCTAGGCGTACCTCAGCCGCATACTTCAGGCTTGTTCCAGCGCATTACGTAGCGAGACAGCGGTCCAGTTGCCACCCGGGAATCTAGAGAGTATTAGTGACGCAGCACTGGTGTCTGTTCGTCATTAGCGAGTGTTGGTAGTTGCCTATGACGTCACAAATCGCTGTGTCATGTACGAACGACTGAAGTCCGTTTACTGTTGAATATTTGACGTTGCCCTCTGTGACGTCAAGGGTGTCTACCCTGGCATAGCGTTGGCCTATAAAGAACGTGCCTCTGGTCATGACACCTGTGACCAACGTCGTGCAATAGGCCACCGGAGGTGCACGCTCTACTTTTCGTCAGCTCCACCAACCAGATACCATATCCACGCACCTCTTTCCGACAGTATTGAGTGCTCTCGCAACTGTGGCGTTCTCCCCCGCCGTTTAGCGCGCGCTCCCTCGACCCTGTCGCCCTGCCAGCCGGGCCGGCGGCCCCCCATATTACACGTGGCCCGCCGACTTCGGCTAACGGGTCAGCCAGCCGTTGCCACACCGCAGCCATTGTAGTATCGAAACGCATGATGAAACCCGTTTTTCTCGTGTGGGAGCGCGCGATTGCAGCGGGCGCGTGTCGGCCGACCGACATTGACATTGGCGGTGACGGGCGGCCGGTCGGGTCACGGCGCCGGTTACACGGCCCCGTGACCTCAGCCGCGCCGCCGAGCCCGCGCTGACCTTCGCGCTAATTGGCGTCGGGCGGCGGCGGCGGCGGGCTCCGACCG